TGCTTTATTATTAGGGGGCCTGTAGAAGGTATCAACATCCGCAGTTGAGCCACCGCTCAGCATAAAACTACACCACACAGTTTCAAACAAGTCACTATCAGTACGAATACGAAAGCTACTGATACTGTTATGGATCATTAGGAACACACCTCCACCGTGCGTTGTGTGGTCCCTTCGGTATAGGTTGACGGAAAGAATACTTGTTCTGCGATAGTGGTATTGAGCCAAGGTTTCACGCGAAAAACAATGTTTGGTTTTGTCATGTCTGATAACGAAGGAAACTCTGTTTTCTTTTTTAACTGCGACAGTTAACTATAATGCACGTTAGTTAATTTTTTCTCAATTTTTTCTCATTAGAATGGCATTTTGAGATGAGTGTTATTTACGACTAGGCACAAGGCTATCTCCAGCACTGTTATGCAGAAATTGGTCTATAATCAGGCCTGATACATAATGAAACCAATCGTAGGCCTGATACATAATGAAACCAATCGTAAAAAACCACCCTTTTTTAGCGTACTGTATCAGTTTTGCCTCCCTAGCCTGACTTTAGGTGAATAGTCTTCACTGATTATAAAGTTGGTTCCCTTTGACTTGCCAGAAGACTTTGGCACACGCTCTTTTTCCTTTAAAGGCCAAACCTTTACTATGATTGGCATTTTCCTCTCCAATGAATATCAGCCTAATCTGTGACTTCATTCAATATCTTCAGGGGCAATTTTGAACTGTAGGTCACTCGAACAAAAGGAAATGACTTTTTCTGCCCATTGTGCTCATATTTCATTCTCAACATTGGGACACCTATAAAATTATCAGGTTATTTCGACGAGACCTACTTTTTAGTTCGTTCTAATTATCTTTATTAGTCCTACAGGCGCGCGTAAGCTTTCCACATTGTGCTGCAAGTTGCTCAAGTTCTGTTTTGACCATGTTACCTAGGGAGGTGTCATTTTCTACGAATGTATTTCTTCTGTTATTTTTTTGTTGAAACGCTTCGTGGTTGGCTTGAATATAGCTAAGTTCATCAAGAATGGCAGAGTGAGAGTCCTGCGTTGAAAGTAATGCCAAGATGGTGTCAAACATCTGATTTTCTTGTTGCGGTGGTAGAAAGCCTAGTTTTTGCTCTGTATGTCTAGATAACAGCAGAAACGTTTTCATGATATGACCACATGCGACAGCGTTCGCGTGCAACGCCGACAGGTAGCAAAGCACCAAGCCATTCACAGCAGGGAGATTGGATGCCGATTTCTTAAATGGACTACCGTATACAAGGAGATAAAAGTAACTAGCCTGAAGAAATACTCGGCGTAAGTTTCTGGCAGCCATGTCGGCGCCAGATCCCAAAGTGGTTGAACGGTGGGCATGCTTTTGTAGTACTTCTCCGTCTCGGTGCTTCAAGTGTTGCCAGCTGCATTGCTGGTCGCAACCCAACGTTGATACCACTGACAGCACCGTCATGTCGAGTGACATTAGGGCCACAAGAAAGCAAAGAAGTTCATTGGAGAAGTCTTGCTTCACAAAAATGTCTGGCAGAGCTGGACACACCGCTATTGCAGCGGCGTCCGGAGCAATCGCTGTCATCTGCATCAACTGAACAAATACTTGGCAAACGTTTCCGGCAGCCATGTTGGTGCCAGAACCGATCTGCTTTTATTGTCATGGTGTATTCCTGGCTATGAACATCAGTCCGCCGTTCCAGCTGTTCACCGTCCCCCCCCCCCCCCCTGAACATCATTCCAGGTGACCTCAGCACCGTCGCTATTCGTCGACTCGCCCTGCTGGACGCCATTCCTTGGAAAACTCAGCAGTGTAGTGGCACTGCTCAGTTCAACGAACTACTTCTTTCATGTAGAACAAAGCACACGCTTACGACAGCTTATCATCCTCAAACGAACGGCCTCACAGAACGTTTGAATCGTACGCTCACCGACATGCTCGACATATACGTGTCGACTGATCATCGCGACCGAGACAACATGCTAACCTTTGTCACTTTCGCTTACAGTAGCTCGCGCCATGACACCCTTTTACCTTTTGTATGGAAGAGAACCGACAGTGCCGTTTGCCACAATTGTACCCAACCCTGCCTACCTGTCCACAGCATATGCTTGCCGCGCTCTTAGTACAGCCGAGAAGGCCCGTAAGATTGCCCATTGGTGCCTTTCGGACTCGCAGCTGCGCCAGAAACATAGCTATGACAGCTGCCATCGGAACGTCTGCTTTAATTCTGGTGACCTCGTTCTCTTGTGGACTCCGTCTCGGCGTGTTGGCCTGGCCTAAAAGCTTCCATCCACCAAGTTTTCCCGGCCTTACTGTGTGCTACGGCAGGTAACTGATGTTACCTATGATATAGCTTATCTAAACCCTTCGATGCCCTCCACATCTTCTGATATCGTCCACTTCGCTCGCCTGAAGCCGTACCTCTCGTCCAACACCTGCAAACAAGCACCGGATTGGCCCTTTTACCGCCGGAGGTCAATCTTGCGGGCTGCTGTGAAGAAGATGACGACGTGTTAGGTGTACAAAAAATACACAACGGCCGCTATCTTGACTGCTATAATATTTTTCAACTCTACAGTAGTGAATACATTCGAAACAATATATACACGCATAATGCCTTTGAGTTCATCGAGTAGTTTATTAAATCGAGGGCTCACGAGGAACGTGGAGGTCACTTACGCATAAGGGCTACCGCGCGTTCTTACTACACAATGCTATGCACACGCTTAAGCAAATTCGCATGTTTCATGGAATTACCCGCAAGCTACGGTACTTGAACCACATGCACCGCTTCGGTATCGAGTCTATAGTAGTGTATTTGTAATGCTTGCTGCGTTGTTATCAAAGCAATCAGTCAACACCACAACCACAATAGACATTGCCCTCACATCATAACTAAAACCCTTTCCTGCAGACTCGTGCAACTATCGGTGGGGCTTCGTCATACCAAATGTATACGTAATTTTCATTCTTTGCGTCCATTGAAATGCTCCGAGATACAAACATCTCATGCTTTCCTTCAAAGGTTCGTGTGGCGCACATATCCAGCATTTTATGGCCTGTGGTATGTGGGTATGTTCCACGACATGTGCAATACAACTGATTGTATTGAATTGCTAAGAAGGTTATGTAATTGCACTAAGATAAACAAACTTAAGAACAACGCAATAGAAACTAAGGTAATTATTTGTCTTCTTAAGAATAGACTGTTTTAGTTGTTTTTGTTTTAGAGGTTAAAAATTGAAATATTCAGCAGCAAATAAATTTTTGGCGTGCACTTTTCAGCTCACTTGGGACATGCATGTGAGTTACCTGTGTGAAAAGCTCTCTTCTATGCTGGTGTCTTGTCCTGAAGTCGAATTTGCTGCCTAGAAAAACCAAAATACATATTTACATTGCTCCGTTTTATCCTGAGTTAAGTTATTGCGCCTTAGTATAAAGCGCGACTGCAATAACTAACATAAGTAGATTTCTGATGCTATACAGAATACGACTATTCGCTATATCGGCAACATAGTCTGTTATTCTACACTAGAGAAGCGTTTCCTAAATACACTATTATTATATTACATACTACGCGATATGCTTCTGAATCATTCAAGGACTTCGTAAAACAGTTGGCTCATTTAAAACTTCGTAGAATCAATGCGATATCTAGGAACCCTGCAACATAGTCACTTGCATACTTGAGTACGCATAGAACTTATCAATCATTGGTATATGTTATGTTTTTTGCTTTAAATAAATATGAAGTAATTCACACACGTAGTAAATAAAGTCTTGCGTTTATATTTCATTTATTTGTAAGGCCACATACAGTGACATTCTGTGCAACAGCACTGTGTGTAACTAATGTTTTCTTTTAACATAGTTATTCTGATTGGTATTACATGAATATATTGCTGCGTTATGCCATTGTTTGATTTTAGTCTGAATATCAGTATTGCTTCCGTAATACGGTGTTATTATTCTGTATTCTGTACTCTTAATTGTTATGATTTCTGGTTATTCCTTATGCTATAGCGGCGTTTTCTTCTATGTAACAAATTTTCTCCACTTTCTTTATGCAGATGTGTTTGTTTTTATTTCACTTTTTTATTGCAGCTCCCGTGCTCGTAATGCACGTAATTCGCTCTTTATGCGAAGTTATGATATCGTATTTCTATTGTTTTAATTGTTGGTTTGCTCGCCACTGCACCGGACTGCTGCCGTGCATTGTATATTATGGTCGTTGGGTGCCGTCAAACTACTACTTTCATCCAAACGGAACCAATCAGCACGTATATACCTTAAAAGAATATTCAATTGAATTACTGTTGCTCTTGCAGATGTGCCACCTGGCAAGTCTTTCCTGAGGCGTTACCCAAGCAAGCCTCTCACTCGCTAGTGGAAACTCATAATAGGAGTGTGTCGAAATTACATGTACCTTAACGATAAAGAAAAAATGCTTGACGTCTTCTATGGTGTAATTTCCAGGCACGCTAATGCACTGTAGGTGTTCTTAATGGCCCGGAGCCCTCAACTACTGTGTATCACATATCATCGGCCGCATGAGGACATGAAACCCCACAAAACAACAAAGCAAAACAGTACACACTCGCAATATTACCGATGAGGCTCGGGCCCATTACGGGCCTGGCATTTTCTAGGCAAAGGCAAAATTTACAAACGCACCAATCATTTCAGCGGCTCAGCGTAGGTCGCCAATAAGCGTTCCTTGCAGTATATCACTACATGGGTCAGGGCCGGGCCAGGCCGGGTAAGGTATCGTTCGATCAGGCCCGAGCCTGACACGAGTCCGAAGCTCCCGGGCATGAGCCCAGCCCGGGCCTGATAAAACAGTTCCTTGTATAGCCCGGCCCTGAGCCGTGCAGTGATATACTGCAAGGAACACCTATTGGGGACCTATGCTGAGCTGCTAAAGTGATTGGTGCAATTGTAAATTTTGCTTTTGCCTAGAATACGCGCTGAATTTTAACACATTATTTTTCTGTGAACAGGGCCCTCGGGAGCGGACGACGCATCCAGCGCGGTGACTGTTGGCAGTGATGGTGCTGCAGCAGCGTCCAAAGGTGGTGCCGGGTCTGAGGAAGACAAGTTCAAGAAATGGCTTCTGGATGAGTACTACCGCACCATGGCACTATCGTTCGCTAGTATGCGCCGCAAGCGTATGGCCACGCATCAGGACACACTAGACCTCCACCAGGTCAAGAACACTGCACTGGCGCCGTCATCGCCGGTCACTGGCACGGCTGACAACCAGTTCCAGGCAAGCCATTCAGAGGCCACTGTGCAGTGTTTTATTCTGCCTCCATTGCAGGATAGTCATACACACGTGTTCACCTAATCTGCGCAAAAATATTTCCAGATGTCACACCAATTTGTCACACCAACTCTCATTTGCCTGTTCGGTGTCACGTAGCAAGTAAACTCATTGCAAGCTGGGAGCTGACCAATATTCGCTCGTATACTACCTGAAGGCACCAAGTCTTTCAGAACAAAACCCTCACTGTGTATGAAGGAAAGAAGGGTACATTTAGTGGTTGTTTTCTTTTTAGACACAATGTAAGGGATATCAAACAGAAAATCATACCAAAGAAAGTACAGGAAATGTTATTAGAAATTATCGTAATAGGTATGTAAAAAAAAGAAACGTTGACAATCACGCCCTCCGCATAGTCTTGGTTTCAAGGCCGCCATGGAGCGATCTTGAAGGAAACTCGTCTGCACGAGAAGCTAAGACCATCCTGCATAGCACCCCTATTTGTGACAACAGGTCAAGCAAACTTTCGGAGTTCGAACAGACTCATCTAAACGATGAAATTACGTTTTGGTAGCCGAATGAATCGAAAAAAATCAGCAGTATCTTGCCTTGGGTGTATTTGTTGTAAGCTTCATATTACAGTCACCGGTGATAACAAGATTACATTCATTTGTGCAGACGAGCGAAAGCAATGTTTCCAGACATGCAAACAAACTTGCAACGTAACAACTACGGGGACAACATTCAACAGGGAAAACACATTGGGACTATGTTGCATGCTATACGTTCAGATACAAGCAGTAATACACCCCCGCCTCTCCTTTCAGATCGATTCCAAAAGAGCGTTTTGGAACAAGCCAATAGTTTTTCGTATTTTCTACACCACACTTCTGTTGTCACTATGTTTTCAAATTGAAGCGAGAATTTGTCAAAGAGCGCAAACAACTCGTCGTGTTGGTGCCTAGCAGACTGTGCGTTACATTGAAAAAATGAAAGATAATGGCATCAATATAGTCTTATGGCGTCACTGAGTGAGAGCATTCCTATGATTGAAAAAGAAGTAAACCTCCGATCAAACGTGCCTAGTCCCACATTTTTCAATATCTGTGTCACAACCGACACGTATTGCGTTCGACGTTTTTCTTTTTGGGGCAAAGATTATACATTTCTTCAGCCTAAGGAAGTGCCAGTTGAGTTTTGTCTTCTTAGCAATGGCTAAGCCTAGAAGTTTTTTTTAACTGCGGACAAAGATGTATATTGCTTGAAGATTGTAAAAGCCCAGATCTCTGAAATATTTTTTTACTCTTTTACTCTTTTGCATTCGAACTTACTCTCGCCTTGTGTGCTTTTTCAAGCACCTGTTGGTGTTTGCACATTGTTTGAAAATTACAACGATGTTCTGTTCTGTGACGGTTTTTCGTGTGGCGACGCCATGGAAAAGCTCGATGTCTTGCTCTTTGATCGGTTCCCCTAGTGCATCGCGAACTTTCGTCATTACGTCGACTAGCTTTTCTGTTCTCTTGTGTGGCGTTCCCTTGATTTCAATGTTTTTGTTTCTGGAATATTGGTCTTGCAAAGTGACCTTCCGAGATAATTCATGCAACTGCTTCTTTAGTGTTTCTGCTTCCTGCAATGGAATAGTCTGTGTTTCTTCAGTTTCTTCAACCCGCGCCTTTTTCGATCGATCCAAACCAGCAACTTCGTTTGCCTTCCGGTATCCCACGACGCGCTGAAATTTTCCTGCGTCGCATGAGGTTGGACGGGGCATTTACGAATGCGTAGTCCTGTCTTCTTGGAATGGCGAGCAGTTCGGCATGCAACGGTTCCGCTAGCGAGGAGATGCTTGAGCATATGCTATGCCACTACCAAGCATACCAGTCTGAACGACGGGTTATGGAAACCAAACTCCGTGAGCTGCATTGACGACCACTTACAGAAAAGAAGATCCTGGGACGTTGGTCGATGGTTTCGCATACGCGCACAGCCACGAAAGCTAACTCTCTTGTTCTTTTTAAGAACCACCGGCCTTCGCGAGCGCTTGTGAAAGAACAGCGTGAGACCGTACCGTGTAGTCTCGAACTGACTATTTGTACATGTCTTTTTTACTCTTCTTTTTTGCTCTCTATCTCTTTCCTTTCTATTATTCCTCCTTTCCCACTTGGTTGAATATTTGTATTTTTTTTTATTTATCTTCCTCTCTCTGCTTCGTGCGTAAGCGTGCGTTGTGATGCTTTGAGCGCCACGTTCTTCCTTCTCACATCGGCACAGTCCTTCTTCAGTGTTTCATATTGCTTAATCATGAACTCGAGACTACTTTCGAGCTCCCTCATTTGTTTGCGCAATTCACACGCCAAGTTGGACACTATACCTGACTTCGCTAAAGTTGGTCGCATTTTCAACAGAAAACAATATGTACATTTGTTTGGCAACAGAGAATAAGCAAACAAATCAAGTTTAAAATAACGTAAAATTTCCAACCAGAGAAATCAAGCAGGAAAATTTCAGAAGTGAGAGCTGTTGCGTTCGCTGCCTCTGTGTCGAAATGGCTTGTTCCTGATACGAGTCTTCTTCTATTCTAAGCCTGCTTATGACAGCAAGGATCGCATGGTCCAGCAAAATCCAGCAGGAACAGCTGATAACCGGAAGCTGCGGCTGCACCCACTTGCGTTGCGGCCACGATGCGCTTGTCTTCTTCTGGGATGATTTGTTCTTGAAAGGCCTGGGAAATCAAGCAGGAAAAGTTCAGAGGGCTGTTTCGTGCACTGCCTCTGTTTCCAAAATGAAATAGAAACACTTTGAATGAAACCATTTCACCAAATAGGATTCTTTCACCCATCTGGAGACGTTTCTTTCGCAATGTCCACTTTCCAATATAGGCACGTAAATAATCATTAGACGCTTGTCAGAAAGGTTGTAACTTGGACACATTGCTTAATCAGTCAGTTGCAAGGCAACGCCGTTGTCTCGTGCAGTGGTTCCACTTATGAATCTACAGTGTCAGCAAACATTAGCGGAGATGGGAGTTTCTTCAGCATATGAGCCCCCAAAACTCCGCTGCTCCAATTGTTTACTCCCTTGTAGGGAGTCAACTCGGCACATGCCATCGTAAAACGCCCTCTGCTTTATGGCGGTTTTCATGAACGACATGACCTTGTTAGACACCCCACTGAGTTTCACGGAGTCACAAACTCCCTATGGAAGTTTTAAAAACTTTTTGGTCGTGACGTGCGTGTGTGTGTGTTTGTGTGCATGTGCGGGAATCTGTTTGCACGTCGATGCGAAACATCAGTGCTTTGTGAGGCTGACCATGTCAGAATCTGTTGACAGACAATAAAATTATCAGTGCAGCGAATATTTGAAACGACAGGATGGTGTTTAGTGTGAACGATTCAAGATATTTCGCACCATTGAACCACGCTGGACATCCCTCCAATTTCCCCAAAACAAAAACGCTGCGAACGCCATACCGAGCAATTCGGGAGATCGCTTTTAGTTCACCGTTTTTCACACCACATCACGTAGAGACCTTCATGCTGTACATCATAACGTACATCACATCTGCAGACGTTTGGTGATGTTTTACCGTGATCAACGTCCACCTTCTCACCGATTTACCGACAGGTGATTTTATTTACCCCTGTAATGCTCTTTTTTCGCATTCTCAATTTGGGAAAGCTGTTCAGGAAACAAAGTCCACTCAGCGTAATCTCACAATATTGCAAACACAGACAGATTGTCCTACCGCGCATGCCACTGTAGTACAAATAACGAATAACTTGTTGCGCTACAATTACCTTTTCAAAAATCACCCCTTACATTTTCAACGAATACACAAAAGTGTCTCTGGAAAAACATTGAGCCCACCAATTAAAACTAATCGCTTTGTACAGCATACGGAAATTCTCGGCATTGGGTGCCTGAAGTGTAAATAGTGAAAATTGAGGCATTTCTCAGTAATCATTTCTTAAAGAACGCTCCCCATAGCGTTACGCCCAGCGCTTCCCATTGGGGTCGGCTTTGCCGCACCAGTGGATGTCCCAGATTGCTGGACAGGCTCGCTTTCAAGGGCCGAGTTGCAAAAAATTTTGAAGAATAATTTAATGTTCACAAAAGTAAGCCGTTACGATTGTCAGTGATTACTTCTGGTGTTTCAGCGTCTAAAACTTAGAAGCGGTCCGAAGTAGGCTTCGCTCGACCACGGCAGGCTGGCCGGCAACCAGCGTGAAAGTGGCGCCGGTGACGCGCTCGCCCCGACTCCACCAATTGGGGCTTCTCGGAGCGCGTCGCCAGTGTTTCCCCGGCTGCGACATCTTAAAATTAGAAAGCCCTCGCTATGTCGTCGGTATCAAGCCGGCGTATAGTGAGCTCGCACTGCGCGCCGGTCGCTGTGGCAAGCTGTACTAGCTGGCACCGACCACCGGCGAGACAAGGAATGTGTTACTCAAAAAATAAAGGCTGCCGGAATGAATAAGTCTTCTGCGCCTTGCGACCACACCTTTCAAAAGACTAACGCGAAGGCGAGCGCCAAACGAGGCTGAGACACACAGAAACAGCGTTCCGGCATACATGCCTATGCAAAGCATGCGAGCAACAGGAACCGCGACTGCGAACTGTCTCGTTCATGTAAGTCTATGGGCCCGTAGCTTACACTGCGTGTATAGCGGACACCTATTTCTGCTGCTTGGGAAAAAGTAATGGGACGAAAAATGCGTGACAGCAAACATTTTGCGATCGCCAGCTGTCATCCATCGTATAACCGTGCCGTACTCCTGAGTGAGGCCTAGTCGTCGAATGCGGTAGCAACGGTGTATCTCGGCTCATCGCTCGAGCTTCTGAATGCGCGCCGTGGAAGTGTTTATGTACGGCCGCTCGAGCTTTGAGTACGATTCTTTGCATTTTACGGATTCACACACAGTACTCCTAACGCAAATTCAGCCCGTATGACAGAGCACCAACTGATAATTAACTTTCGCTATATTTAAAAAAAGTATTGAATATTAGGCCGGTTTAAGATAAAAGGCAAGTGTGTTGTAATGCTTACGTCAGACCACCGCAAATATGTACCTACGCTATGCATGCTTATTGCTTAATTATTAGCGAACGAAGGGTCCCTACAAGCTACATGGGAAGTCACAATATCGTTCCAATATATACCCAGTCAATGAAGCGTGGGTGTACAGTGCGAGAGGCAAGCTGGGGTGAGTGTGAGTGTTGTAATATTACATGGCCGTTGTGTGCAGGTTTGTGTACTGTGATCAATATTGTGTGCTTGGAAGGAAATTAAAATAATCTTACACTTGTGCATGGCATGGCTGCGGACGTGATTTTTAAAGGCGATAGTCTTTCTTGGGGACCTTCGACGCAAAAACTTTAATCTCTCAGTCTGTCTGTCTGTCTGTCTGTCTGTCTGTCTGTCTGTCTGTCTGTCTGTCTGTACATTTGTCTGTTTGACCACCCTTAACGGTACCCTAAACGACACCAAAGTCACCAAACTATACTCCAAACGGCTGACCCCATCCGCTGCGGCTTCCAATATTGCTCAAGGTTCAGCTTTCAAACTTGTGCGATTGTCAATTAAAAAGCAATTATTGCGCATATCTGAGGCACCGTAACAACACGTCAATATTATATATGTGTATTTCTACTAGAAAAAGCATACATGAGTAATTTCAAGGATCGTAGCCTTTTAATGCTGCGCTGGCCATACAACGCTTGCACGAAACGGCAAGTGTTTCCAATGATTCGCTAAGACAACACGGTGGTGGCATCTACCCGTCGCCTCGCGTTCTACGCCTTATCACCTCATAGATGGGCATGCACGGCGCGAACCCCGTTTTCCGGAATAACTGCCAGATAGCACTCATGTCTCACGTGTCATGTGCCTTGAGGCGCCCGTTCGCCTTCACTGCATGCTCGATGGATGGATGGATGGATGGATATGGCTGTACCCTTTAGATCGGGTGGTGGCTAGCGCCACCAAGCCGTAATGCCTAATGAACCCAAAACTCTATTTTTTTCCTTAAAAAAAAGAGTTTGAGGATTCGTACTTTGCAGTGAAGAGTTTAATTTTCACTCGTGCCTTGACTTTAGCCACCAATCAGATAACCTCCTTCTGGTTAAGTCTACCCGCTTAAAGTTTATTTTGCCCTCCCGGTCCCTAAACCCCAGTGCTTTGAAAAACTCTGCGCCATCATCCTGAACTATAGGGTGAAGCCCTTTACAGAACATTATCAAGTGTTCGGCAGTTTCTTCTTCCTCTCCACACGTACTGCATACTGTGTCTACCCCTTCGTATTTGGCCTGATATGTCTTGGTTCGCAGTGCTCCCGGTTTGGCCTCAAACAGTAGAGAACTACCCCGAGTAATATCATAGATCCTTTCCTTGGCAATTTCCTGCTTAAACGTTCGATAGATCTCTAGTGCGGACTTCTTTATCATGCCCATTCTCCACATGTCAGTCTCCGTTTCCTTCACTTTTTTCTTAACCGATAGTTCTTTTTTGTTTGGCCACCTGCTAGTTTTCTAAGTATTTACAAGTCAACTTCCTGGTTCGCTTCCTCCATTTTGTATCGACATTCTTCATGTACAAGGAGCTGAAAACCTTCCTAGCCCAACGCTCTTCCCCCATTTCTCTCAATCGCTTCTCAAATTTTATCTTGCTGCTAGCTTCCCTGCCCTCAAATGATGTCCATCCCATATCACCTTGTACTCCCTGATTTGGTGTATTCCCATGAGCTCCTATAGCAAGCCTACCTATTCCACGTTGCTTAATTTCTAATCTTGCTTGAACTTCTGATCTCATGCACAAGACCGCATTGCCGAACGTCAGCCCAGGAACCATGACCCCTTTCCATATTCCTCTCACAACATCATACCTATTGTAATTCCACAGTGCCCTATTTTTCATGGCTGCTGCATTCCTGTTACCATTAGTCGTCACGTATATTTCGTGTTCCCTCAGATACTCGGTCCCATTGCTTATCTATACGCCCAGATATTTGTATTTATCTGTTATCTCTAGCGTGACCTCCTGTATTCTAAGCTCACTACCTTCGTTGTCATTGAAAATCATGACTGCTGATTTTTCCTTACTGAATCTAAAATCTAACCTATCTCCCTTATTACCGCAGATGTCCATCAATCTCTGCAAATCTTCCTTGTTGTTGGCCATTAGCACTATATTATCTGCGTACATTAATGCTGGTAGTGCCTGATCAATAAGTTTTCCTTGTTTGACTAAAGAGAGGTTGAAGCCCAGTCCACTTCCCTCTAATTTTGCCTCTAATCCTTGTAGGTACATCATGAATAATAAGGGTGACAGGGGGCACCCCTGCCTAAGGCCCCGTTTTACCTCTGAAGGCTTGGATACCTGCTTTTCCCACTTTATAACTACCTTGTTACCTTTATAGATACCCTTTAAAAGATTAGTGACTACATGTTTCACGCCTAGTGTGTCCAGTATTCCCCACAATTCCTCTTGAACCACGCTATCGTACGCTCCCTTGATATCCAAAAATGCTAGCCACAGGGGCCTGTGTTCCTTTTCTGCTATTTCGATGCACTGCGTCAGTGAGAACAGATTGTCTTCCAACCTCCTGTGTTTCCGAAACCCATTCTGCAGTTCCCCCAGCACCCCCTCATCCTCTATCCACGCCTGCAGTCTTTCCTTTATAATCTGCATCGCCAGCCTGTAGACCACTGATGTCACTGTTATAGGACGGTAGTTGTTTATGTCAGCTTTGTCCCCCTTTCCTTTATAGATCATGCTCATCCTGCTAAGTTTCCATCCATCGGGAACTTCGCCATCGATTATTATTGTGCTCACTGCCTCTTTCAAAGCCTGCTTAGACTTCGGACCTAATGTCTTTATCAGCCTAATTGGAATGCAGTCTGGGCCTGTTGATGTACTACTAGGAACCCTTTTCTCAGCCCTTTCCCACTCTTGTTGTGAAAATGGAGCCATTGCACCACTTGATTCGTCCTCGTCTATTGTGGTGCGTAAAGTACTTCTTTGTTTAAATTTTTCTGTCACTTCTGTTCTTATATATTCAATAGCTTCGTCTCCTTCTAGCCTAGCACCTTGGGCTGTAGCTATAAATCTCTGCTCTAGGCTCGTCTCATTTCTTAGGGAGTTTAGATGGTTCCAAAATTTCGCAGCTGCCTTTCTATCTTTTTTATGTACTTCTGCCAGCCACTGAGCTCCCTTCCTTCTAATCTTTTCATTGATCAGAAGGGATGCATCTCTTCTACAGCTTAGAAAGGTTGCCCATTTTCTTTCAACATCACCTGTCAGTTCACCCCGCTGCTTAGCATGTGTGTGTTCCCTAGAGGCTTCCTGACGTTTTGCTATGGCTCTCTTAACTTCCTCATCCCACCAACTTTTGGGTTTGTGTCTTCTTTTCTTTTCCGGGGTGACAGTATTCGAGGCACTCTAACGCAGCGCCTCCAGAATACCATTCACCAATTTTCTTGCGCAGAACATCGAATATACGTTTTGTTCACACTCTGCAGACACAAGACTATCGTCTTTCGACGACATTTGCGGTTTAACATGCAGATACGGGGCCATTTTTTCTTTCAGTGGATGTAAAAATTCACTCCCATACTGACTTGAAAAATTTCCCTAATGTATGTAAATAAGAACTCCCTTAAATCCATTCGAAAAACCCCACTGGTTGGCGAGTAAATTTTCCCTTCCATCGGACGGTCTTCATAAAACCCCCATTTGGGTATGCGGTAGAGGACAAGTCGTCTACTCTCATCTCGGCTCATTTCTGTTTACAGTGCATGTCCCATTCGATTTACTATAGTTGAGCTTTGTACAATTAGGCGGTCCCTACCCGCCATTAGACTGACAGCGCTATTCTTTCGCAGGTAGTCGAAGATAAACTGCGCAGCATCGAGGACACCATGATTGGTGAAGCCGTGGCACTTGTCCGAGATGGCGCCAGCGACGACGCCGAACTGCGTGCTATCAACGCCGGTGTCGCGTCGCGGCTTGACGCCGCCTATGACTTAGAGAGCGTTCGCCAGTCGCTGGACCACCTTCAGTCCACGCTGGAAGGCATGCGCCGCCAGGAGCTCCAGGCAGCCTTAGTGGAAGACGAAGAGGAAGGCGATTCTGCTTCCGTCCTCCGAAGTGATGGCACAGATGTCCAAGAGCTGACAGAAGCCTCATCGTGGGCCCAGCTTACCGACAAGCGTAAGATGCATTCCTCGCTAACCACTGACAATCAGCGCTAAAAACTCTGGATCATCTATGAATTCGCTTAAGCCGGCTCTAAAGAGTATTGGCTATATTACTGCTAAAATGATTGTTTGGGCAAGTTGACACGACGTTATTCACACAAAAAAACAGCGCCAGAAACGGAGGATATGAAAAAGAAGGAGACAGACAGCGGCACTGACTTGCAAGATTTATTTATTTGGATCTGCGCAGGTGAATTCTGCTTCTTATTTTCATTCCTTAAATTTTTGTCCGATACATCTCAAGTATATATTGCGTGGTTCCACCAAATAAATCTTGTTGCAGGTCAGTGCCGCTCTCGTTATCCTTCTTTCTTTCTTGTTCTCCGTTCCCGGCACTGTTTTTATGTGAATTATATTACCGTGCATTATATATAAAACAAACACAGGATTTTTATGCTTGCTTTGAGGCGCGTTCTCACCAAGCGTGGATGATGTAAATGATGTAATATTAAAAATTAATACCGACACCTACGGTTCCCTTTTATTACGTATTCCCGAGCAGTCCTGCCGTCGCAGCACGATTTTCGCGAACGTATTACCGCTGTAGATTTAACGTATTTACAGACCCAGGCTTTGCTCGCTTTCTTTCAGTGTATAAAACCGACTCGCAGTGCGCCGGACTCGTTCGGATAAGCCAAATGCTTCCCTGTCTGGAAGCGCCGCCACCACTCGGTAGAAATTCCGCTGTAGGGCCAGTGTCATTGACAGTCAGTAAAGCGGCGCACATGGGACGAAAGCGCAGTGAGGAAGCAAATATTGTTTTTCTTCTTTTTCCAGAATCAAAGAAGTGTCTCGTCTTTGCTGTTCAAGTGGTTTGCAGGTCATTCTCGGCAGGCAAACATCCGGTAGTCCTTGCTGGTGGCTAATCGAAATGCTTGCTGGTTATCAGGATCGATTGCGTCAGTGCCCATTGATCAACGGTGTACTCGCAGAGTTGCGTCAGAGGGTGGTGTACTGTCACGCCTGTGGTCTTTAAACAGCAGTGCGGAGGCCGCATTGAGTGGCATTGGTCGTCTCCTTCCAGAAGTTCTTGGCCTAAGGTGGAAGAGTACAGGTGCGTTCATTATAGCTTTGGCAGGAGCGCGTGGCCTCATGAGCTCACAAGTTGCGCATGGCTTCAACCTATTTTTCTTTGAACAACCAATTAATATTTTCTTAATTGTTATCCTACTGAAATAAGATAAACGCGTTTTTCAGTGGAAATAAGGGCCAGTGGAAGCCATGTGCAATCAGTCAACTAGTGAGGCCACGCGTTTTGCAAGTCATATTCTCACGCAGCAAAAGACGACGCAGTTGTCTATGAGGAAAACAAGTTTATTGGAGCGAACTTGTGCTCCCTTAACAACTGGAAAAAAATACACAGGTGGCGAAGCAGCGGCCAGCAAAACGACGGGCACGCTAGTGAGCGTCGGCGATCGAATGACGCGGCATTGGCTGTGCGTGAATTTATATCCCTCGGCGCGAGGGTTTCTCGAATAGTCGAATTGTATCGGGAACGCCGTGATAGCGTTTGTTAGAAACGCTGTTCGTTCGAACTGCGTTTCTAACAAACAACGCTTGAAGCGTTGTTTCTATCGAACAACGCCTGAAGCGTTGTTCGATAGCGTTTGTTAGAAACGCTGTGGTAGCGTTTGTTCGAAACGCTGTGAAAACGGCGATAGCACAGGCCGGCGCACCCAGGCCGAAAAAAACAAAACACAAATAAACAAACCCAATGCATGGTTCGCGGCACTACCCCCCCCCCCTCTAAGAGTGCATCGACCCGATGCTAACATAAGGGACAGTCCACACAAATTAAAAGTTCGTCATCGTCCGTAGAAAGGTTTTAAGCGAACCACATGGACGACTTCGGGCCGCGTGCGTCGTCGTGATGTACGGGAGTCCCCATCGGGGATCACTTCGTACGTTATTTCGCCAACACGTCGTAGAATCTGGTAGGGTCCGAAATAGCGTCGTAGAAGTTTCTCACTGACTCCACGTCGTCGAATGGGAGTCCAAACCCACACACGATCTCCAGGATGGTATTCGGCGTCTTGGCGTCGGAGATTGTAGCGTGCGGCATCCACCAGTTGCTGGTCCGTTATACGAGCTTGAGCGAGCTGGCGGGCCTCCTCCGCACGTTGGAGGTGTCCTTGGACGCCGGCGTTGAGGTCGTCGTCTTCTACGTGCCGAAGCATGGTGTCGAGCATCGCAGTCGGCTGTCTTCCGTAGACGAGCTTGAATGGTGTCATCTGCGTGGTTTCTTGAATAGCCGTGTTGTACGCAAACGTGACGTACGGGAGGACTTCGTCCCACGTCTTATGTTCAACGTCGACGTACATAGACAGCATATCCGCGATTGTCTTATTGAGCCGTTCCTTTATTCCATTCGTTTGGGGGTGGTACGCTGTCGTTCTTCGGTGATCTGTGTTGCTGTAGCGTAAGATTCCTTGCATGAGCTCCGCAGTGAAGGTCGTTCCGCGGTCCGTGATTAGGACCTCAGTGGGTCCATGTCGCAGCGCAATTTGGTTAATAAAGAACTTTGCATCTTCTTGTGCAGTTCCCCTAGGACGAGCGGTGGTCTCTGCGTAGCGCGTCATGTAGCCTGTTGCTACGACAATCCATTTGTTCGCGCATCGGGATGTGGAGAACGGGCCCAGAAGGTCCATTCCGTTCTGTTGGAAGGGCCTCGTTGGGACGGCGATCGGCTGCAGAAGACCGGCTGGTCTCGTCGGTGGTGTTTTTCGTCGCTGGCAGTCACGGCAGCTCCGGACGTAGTGGGTGACATCGGATGTAAGGCGGGGCCAGAAGTATTTCGCCTTGATTTTTGCAATCGTGCGAGCTGTTCCGAGATGTCCGGAAGACGGGTCATCGTGGCACGCTTCCAAAATTTCGTCACGAAGGTTTGCGGGGATGACAAGTAGATAATTCGTTCTCGTTCCGGGGTTGAAATTCTTCTTCACTAGGATGGAGTTTTTGAGGCTGAATGCTGGTAAGTTGCGCTTGAACGCCCTAGGCACGGCGACGTAGCGTCCTTCGAGGTAGTCGATCATGGCGCGAAGGTCAGGGTCGGCATGCTGATGGGCGGCTAGGTCGCTCTCTGTCACGACTCCGAAGAACGCAATGTCTTTATTGGAGTCCTGTGGTGGTGGGTCGACTGGGGCGCGGGACAGGCAGTCGGCGTCGGAGTGTTTCCTGCCAGATTTGTAGAATATTGTAACGTCAAACTCTTGCAGGCGCAAGCTCCACTGCCCAAGACGGCCAGAGGAATCCTTCAAATTGGCGAGCCAACACAGCGCATGATGGTCTGTCACAACCTTAAACGGTCTACCATAGAGGTATGGGCGAAATTTTGAAGTGGCCCATATGATAGCCAGACACTGTTTCTCGGAGGCAGAGTAGTTTCTCTCCTCCTTCGACAGACCACGGCTTGCATAGGCGATTACCTTTTCGTAACCGCTTTGCTTTTGAACGAGGACGGACCCAAACCGATATCACTGGCGTCCGTGTGCATTCGAGCACAGGTTCGCTCCAATAAACTTGTTTTCCTCATAGGAAACTGCGTCGTTCTTTGCTGCGTGACATCTGGTGGAGGTGCGGGGTACATGAACCCTAAGCCATTGCCAAGCCGACAAGCACGCCCAACTCGTGTCAGCCGCCGACAGCAAGGCCTTCAGCCAGAGTTTGGACTGCTCCCGGATACAAAAAGGAAAGAAGACGTAAAAACCACGATGATCAACCCAGGCACCATGACCAGCGCTACCAACCCTCCCGTCGTCCTGCAACAACCTCGTGAGCCCCCATCATTCCGAGGGTCTCCTGGTGAAAACCCGGAAGAGTGGCTGGAGAAGCTGGAGCGCATCCGCATCTTTAACAGGTGGGATGACGAAGAAACGTTTCGTCATGTCTTCTTCTATTTGGAGGATGCAGCTCGAACGTGGTTTGAGAACCATGAGGTCCGTGATTAGGACCTCAGTGGCTCCATGTCGCAGCACAATTTGGTTAATAAAGAACTTTGCATCTTCTTGTGAACTTCCCCTAGGAAGAGCGGTGGTCTCTGCGTAGCGCGTCTGGACTGTCTTTAAGAGCGAATTCCTCAAAACATTCGCTACGGCTGTGCGGAAAGAACGAGCCGCCCTTTTGTTGGAGACGCGAATGCAACACCCTAACGAAGGTGTTGTACTGTTCGCTGAGGAGATGAAGATGCTGTTCCGGAGAGCTGACCCCGAAATGGCAGAAGAGAAGAAGGTGCGCTTTCTGATGCGGGGAGTTAAACAAGAGCTCTTCGCTGGACTCATCCGCAACCCCCCTAAGACCGCCGCTGAGTTCGTCACCGAGGCTTTGATGATCGAGAGGACCTTGGATATGCGTTCGCGGCAATATTGAGGACGACTGTACATGTACTGCCTCCATAGACGTCCGCACCTTGCCTCCTCTGATAATCAGGAGACACCTGTCTTGAGATGCTGCAGAGGAGACGCGTATTCGCTCTATAGGTCTTCAAGTGACAACTGGTGATTATCGTTGTTCCAGTGCGCGGACGGTAGATCAGGCTGTCTCTAGATGTCAGTCGCCTTGCCGATTGTTGACTGTTGTCATGGAGTGGTTTCCTTGTGTGACATTCGACTTTGCTTTCGGCTTTTCACGCCACCTTAAATGAACCTTGGCATTGTGTTGACTTGCCCTTCAGCTGATTGTCCTACAGAGCCCGCGACGTCTGTGTCAGTGTTCGTGCGCTTGCGATACAGCACTACCTGGTTCTCCAGTAATGAGCATGTCAGTAGTCAATGCGAAACAATCACGTACTCTGCAGGAGCCACGCCATTTGGTCTAAGCAGCCGGTCCTGAAGTGGATTTGTTCATTTACGTTTCGCAGCCTTGTTACTAGCAATTGGGTTTAATGGGAAGGAGGCTTTCTACGTGGTTGTTTTCGAGGAGATCCTTCCGACCAAACCTTTCGCTGAGCGACTTCTT